TTCCAATTGCTATCAATCTAAGTCTTATAAAAATCAGCATGGATCATAAGATTTCCCAAAATTATAAACCATTAAAAAAAATCAAACTCAGAAATTGGAGAGAGGACCCAGGTTATATTCTGTAAATATTTTCAAATTGATCAGATTTTTACACCTCCGTAAGTCCTACTGTTTCTTAGCAGTAAATTGAATGTGACTTCAGTCATAGCAATCCCCTCAATGATGTCATAGAAGCATGTACTACTGTATATAATTGAACAAATCAAACAATTATAGTGCAGCTATGTTACTAAAATGTAATATATGCAATGAATATCATGAACATGCTTGTGAATATCGTAATTTGTATTTACAAGAAGGCTTTGCCATTTGGTACTCATGTCACCTCAACTGGGAAAGAGAAGGTGCAGATAGCCTACTCCCAATGTCAGTCTGGTGCAGAATGAGTTATGATACTTTTTCTACAGAAACACCTGACTGCAGCAGAGTAGAAATCATGCCACTCCAAACAAAAAGTCTCCTGAGCTTTGAAAACCTTACTGCCTCTAATTAAAATATGTTGCTAATGTCTAGTTGTGTGGAATGAACCCAGCATCTATGCTAACTCTTTTACCAGGTCATCCACAAACTTGTCATATGCACAATAACAATCCTTATATTTTTATAACTCCTATAATGTCAAACTGCTATCAAACCATAGATGTTATATCAAATAGTGTTTTACATAACATCATGTGTACATACTGTTTTTGTAGGCAAACAGCAAGGACCCACAAATAGGCATGAGATGAATGACCAACTAACTTGGACGTTCACTGGTCAGGACACCGAGTAAAAAAACACTTTTCTCAAATGATTTCATGGGAACATTAATGTCCATCTAAAAAGGCAGGTCGGATCTTGTTTTAATGTCTCATCTGAAGGACATCTGACAATGCTCCCCTAGTGTTGCAATGAATGTCAACTTGAACAACCCAGAGGCAAATGTCCTGCAAACAGACAATGAAAAGAAAAAAGTCTACCCCAATTTGCCATTAATTGATAAGAGGATTAGGCAAGGTACCTCATGAAGGCAAAACACCAGCTCAGACTTGAAAGGGCAGTGCAGCTATGTTACTAACATTTCTGCTAACATTCCTTGATGTGGAATTTTTTAGCCCATGAATGACTAGCAATGTTAATTCTAACATGGTTAATAAATGTGATCACCAAAGCTAACTAATAACTGCTTAGTGTGACCCATCCACTCACTTCAAAGCTAGCCCTCGTATTGCACTTTTTGTCCAAAGCACTGGAGTATCGGATAGGAAAGTACCTGGCTAAGTGGGGGAAAAAAATCAGTTAAGTAGTATTCCGCTAACACATTTCAGTACTATGAACTACAGGACCGAATTGCAAATACGTGGTGTATTAACTTCAGGGGCACAACGACTGTGAGGCGGGCGAGGGGAGATATATATATATATACACACACAAGATGACCAAAATGTCATGATAACTGCCCTATTATCTAAAAAAAATCATAAATTCTTTAAGATTTATTAGACTTTGTAATGGTATCACAACATTTTGGTCACCCTGTATAACATTATATAACTTATGTTATTCTACGTTACCTCATACACTACTCCTCCATCTGCCTCTCTGCTCAGCTAACTCAAGCATGCTGCACCCACTCCATGCCACCATTGCTGAACCTTCATCTCCTAACGTCTGGAACTCCTTCCCTCTCCACCTTCTGTTTCATCCCTCTCTTTCTGTCTAAATCCGACAGGCCCCATTTATCAACAAAGAGAGAATGATCACAATTACATATTCAAGACTGAGGTTGATAGATTTCTAAAGGATAGAGGAATTAAAGGATATGGGGATAGGGCGGGTAAATGGAATTAGGTTAGAAGATCAGCCACCATCTTATTAAATGGTGGGGCAGGCTCGAGGGGCCGAATGGCCTACTCCTGCTCCAACGTCTTATGGTCTTATGTTTACCCTTGCAATTTAATTCTAAGTGTTCCCTAAAATCCCATACTGAATTCCTGACCAACATACTTTTTCCACACACTTAAATATATCCCTGTAGCAATAACAAACAATACCTTCAGCCACTACCTCTTGTACTTCCTCCCTCTACACCCTGTTTCGTCCCCTCTCTGTCTAAGTCCTGGTTTTGAACATGCCAATGGTCACCTCTCTCTCTCCCTTGCACAGGTCCAACCACAACCTTTGTGAAGGACTCAGGACATTACCCTACATGAAGGGCATTTGACTGCAAATTCTTGTAACCCTTCATAATGTCACCCTTTTTGAAACTATTTCTGTGGGCTCATTTTTTTAAATGAGGATGACAATCAAGAATTTCTTTATTATCCCATTTCTATCAATTTGCCCGGAATGTTAAAAGAGCACAACTACTGCTGCTTACAGTAGGAAGTTGGACCATCATATACTTTCTACCCTAATCCCCTTTGGCACCTTCTTTCTACTTTATTTTCACTTTCACTGGCGAAGCCACTCTGTAAGGGTGAAGAAGGAATTTCCATGTGTATAGCTTTATTATGACAAAACTTCTCAAAATGCTTCACTGTCAAGTGTAATTACTCTTTCTGAAGACAAACATAACAGCTATTCACACCAGCTATTCCCACAAATAATCATGAGTTGAATCATTAATTAATTCTAGGAATTTTGGCCAGGACACACTGCTGGGGAAGATTTCAAACAGAATCAATAGTACTGACTTCCCACTGATGCAAATAAATCAACTAGCACATAGCACATACTAAAACGTCATAATCTGTAGTGGAACCATTCTCCCCCACCCCATGCAAAAATGTTAAAACAGGACTTTCTTGAAAACTGCTGTACGTGGATAAAATCTATGGTAAGGTGTGAAAAATCCAAATCCTAGAATTTAGGTGTACTGAGTGAAAGTACAGCACAGGGAGAGAAATCACGAGGAAGATGGCACAACATTGAAACATTCCACCAAAAGCTCCTCATGGCTAACAGCGGAAATCAAAAGATACTGTAGTTAGAAACTTGGAAAGAATGGATAGGGACTAAATTATAAACCAAAAGTAAAGATAGAGTAATTTCAATACAAAATTGTCGACTTTCAAATTTCATTATAGTTTTGTTCTCGAAAATTGTCTTACAAGGTACAGTATAATATGCATGGACGATGTCTCAGAAGATTATTATAATTGGCCTCGCCCAACTGTTACTTCCACAGTTGCTTTCTAATGACATGCCAATGATTTGCAATCAATCGCTTATCAAGGAATGATGGCATGGTGACAAAGATTCAGACCAACCTTTTCAGCAAAAAAATTCAGGTGAGGTAAACCTAACATGGAATAACTGTTAAATAAATACATTTCACAATTAGAATTTTTCCTTTTTCTGATTTTTTNAATGTACATTCTAATCCACCCTAGTTTGGGAACAACCGATCAAATGCAACCAGAATCTTTTGCAATGAAGACTCAAGTGCTGGGACTTAAGTCTACAAATGCTGATGAAGCATTTTATCTGAAGAACTATACACTAGATATATTTGATTTCAATTCTGAACACATCGCAGCATAGGGTGCAATGCTGGCACGGGAGTGCCCACAAAACACAGTCACTACACTTTACAGTATATTCTGTGAAGCGTTTTGAGACGTCCCGACGATGTGATAAGGCGCTATATCAAAGACAAGGATTATTATTATTATATAGGAGTTGAATTCAGTCTGACACTTCGGGTGCTCCTCCTCAGGGCGAGCTTGTCAAACAAATACTTGCCCATCAAATGATCTCCCAGACACTCCAGGGTAGTGATATTTTAGAAAGCTCTAACTGTTTAATGTTTAATATGAAATGATGAAACTCATACACAGAAGTTCACGGAAAACTGATATGAATTAAAATAATATCCCCGTTCCTGCTCGTACTGTGAGAGAAGTGTTGTTAATGAGAGAAAATAATAATAATAATAATCCTTGATCCTAAATCAAGAGGTGATTTAGTTAGTGTTGTAATAATCTTCTAGTCGTAATAAAGGAGTTACTGGTAACTACAAGCAATCATGAGGAACCAGGATGTATTTATTACTTAAAAATAACTCTAATGTGCCCCACCTTTTCAATTTTTTGTATTCAAAGATTCGGTAAGGGTATTTGTTTTTCAAAACAAAGAAGAGAGGGCATCATCAATTGCAATGACTTTAATGCATTTTACTTGCTGGCCAGCCGCTAAACAAAACTTGATATGTTGAATACAACTTACACAAATTTCACGAATAAGATCGGAATTGTAGTTAATGCTCACAACGCGCGTTTGGATCAAACTTAGCACAAGGCGTCTGAGAAGCATACAAAGGAAGAACAGATAATGGACAACGAAGGATTGAGATGGTGGGGGTTAAAGACAACTGTCCGTCCACCGTTTATTTTTAAATAAAGGCGAGAAAAGATAGATGGAGCGAATTGGCGCGACGGTGTCAGCAGCTGAACTGAAGGCCTAGAACCAACCGCCTTGTTACCACCCGCAGAACCAACCGAGGTATTGTCTTCTCTGCCAGGGCCTGGGGCCTGGGGCCTCTCTCTCTCTCCCCCCCCCACGAGTTCAGGACCATCACCACCACCATCATTACAAAAGACCCCCCGCCCTCCTCTCCCGGTCTCCTTCTAACCCAGAGCCCGTCCCTCCACCCAGGCCTCGACCGGGAGAGAGGAGAGAGAGAGAGAGAGAGAGCAACTACAGGGCCGCCGCCTCGTTTCCCCGCCCTCCCCTCCCCGCCCCGGAGTGTTACCCGGACAGGCACTTTGATAACAGGTATCACAGCCACCACACACCAGGCCTCGCTACCCGCTCTCCCGGGGTTTGGTGTATAACGTGACGGTCGGGCCCGAGGCCCTGCCCTAGGCCTCGGAGTATGAAGAAGAGGAGGCGCCGCTCTCATGCGGGGGCTTTTCTTAAATGAAGCCAGTCAAGCGGCTCCTGCTCTCACTCACCTCATCGTTAAAGGCGTTGACGGCGTCCATGCTGTCGGCGGTGTGTGTGTGGGTGGGTGGGTGTCTCGCTGCTCCAGGCTGTCTCGGGGCTCTCTCTCTCTCTCTCGCTCCGCGCTCAGCTCCACAGCGGCTCCACACGCGCCTCACTCAACATGGCGGCGGCTGCACAACACGGCCGCGCTGCATCATGGGGCACACAGCGACAAGCGGCCGGACACAAAGCCCAACAGTGAGAGAGGGAGTAACACAGAGGGAGGGGGAGTAACAGTGAGAGGGAGTAACACAGAGAGGGAGTAACACAGAGGGAGTAACACAGAGGGAGGGGGATTAACACAGAGGGAGGGGGAGTAACAGAGAGGGGGGCGACAGAGTAACAGAGAGAGGGAGGGGGAGTAACAGAGAGAGGGAGTAACACAGAGAGGGAGTAACACAGAGGGAGGGGGAGTAACAGTGAGAGGGAGTAACACAGAGAGGGAGTAACACAGAGGGGGATTAACACAGAGAGGGAGGGGGAGTAACAGAGAGAGGGAGTAACAGAGAGAGGGAGTAACAGAGAGAGGGAGTAACACAGAGAGGGAGTAACAGTGAGAGGGAGTAACAGTGAGAGGGAGTAACAGTGAGAGGGAGTAACACAGAGGGGGAGTAACAGAGAGAGGGAGGGGGAGTAACAGAGAGAGGGAGGGGGAGTAACAGTGAGAGGGAGTAACACAGAGAGGGAGTAACACAGAGAGGGAGTAACAGTGAGAGGGAGTAACAGTGAGAGGGAGTAACACAGAGAGGGAGGGGGAGTAACAGAGGGGGGCGACAGAGTAACAGAGAGAGAGGGGGAGTAACAGAGAGGGAGTAACACAGAGGGAGGGGGGAGAGTAACAGAGAGGGAGTAACACAGAGAGGGGGGGAGAGTAACAGAGAGAGGGGGAGTAACAATGAGAGAGAGTAACACAGAAGGGGGGGAGAGTAACAACAACAACAAGATTCCATTTATAAAGCGCCTTTCACGTCAGGAGGACGTCCCAAGGCGCTGCACAGTTGGGTCATGACCCGAGGAGGGGGGAAATGGTCAGGGTGAGGGGAGGGAAGGGAGGGAGCGAGGAGGGGAGAAATGGTCAGGGTGAGGGAAGGGAGGGAGCGAGGAGGGGGAAGAGAGTCGAGAGGGGAGCTGAAGGCTCGGTCAAAGAGAAAGGTCTTGAGACCGGCCTTGAAGGAGGAAAGGGAGGAAGCAAGGCGAAGGCACTGGGGGATGGAGTTCCAGAGCCTCGGGGCTGAGAGGCTGAAGGCCCGACCACCAATGGTAGGGCGGTTGGGGCGGGGGACGTGGAGCAGACCAGAGCCAGAGGAACGGAGGGTACGGGCAGGTAGGTCGGGGGATAGTAGGTTGGAGAGGTAGGAGGGAGCAAGGCCGTGAATGGCCTTGTAGGTGAGGATGAGGATCTTGAAATTAATCCTCTGGGGGATGGGGAGCCAGTGGAGGCGAGCGAGGGTGGGAGAGAGGGGGGGAGTAACACAGAGAGAGAGGTGGGAGAGTAACAGAGGGGGAAGTAACAGAGAGAGGGGGGTAACAGAGAGAGAGAGGGGGAGTAACAGACAGGGAGTAACAGAGAGAGAGAGGGAGAGTAACAGAGAGAGGGAGGGAGAGTAACAGAGAGAGGGAGGGAGAGTAACAGAGAGAGGGGGGGGGGGAGAGTAACAGTGAGAGAGAGAGGGAGAGTAACACACAGAGAGAGAAGGGGAAAGTAACAGAGGGAGAGTAACATAAAGAGAGAGGGGGAGAGTAACAGAGAGAGGGAGAGTAACACAGAGAGAGAGAGAGTAACAGAGAGAGAGAGAGTAACAGAGAGAGAGTAACACGGAGATGGAGAGTAACAGAGAGAGAGTAACAGAGAGAGAGAGAGAGAGTAACACAGGGAGTAACAGAGAGAGGGAGTAACACGGAGAGTAACAGAGAGAGAGAGCAACAGTGAAGGTCTTCTATCAGGACAGCAGTGGCCCTGGAGTCAAGGGTGGAGGCAGAGAGGTAGAATTGGGTGTCATCTGCATACATGTGGAAGTCTGAGGATGATGTCACCAAGAGGGAGTACATAGATATTGAAGAGGAGGGGACCAAGGACAGAGCCCTGAGGAAAGCCGCACGAAACGGTGTGGGGGAAAGAGGAGAAACAGTTTGTGAAGATGAAGTGGAGGCGCTGTGAGGTACGATCTGAACCAGTCAAGGACAGAGGTGAGGTGAGAGGAGAGGCGGTGGATGACAATAGAGTGGTCGACGGTGTCGAAGGCAGCAGAGGTCAAGGAGGATGAGGAGGCAGAGAAACCCGATTGGAGGGGTTCGTGAAGGGAGTGGCGGGAGAGGAAGGAGCGAAACTGGGAAGCAACAATTCGTTCCAGGACCTTGGAGAGGAAAGGGAGGTTAGAGATGGGGCAGTAGTTTGGGAGTAGAGATGGGTCCAGGAAGGATTTTTTTTTAAGGATAGAAGTGATGACAGTGTTTTTTAATGGGGTGAGAACAGTACCAGTGGACAGGGAGAGGTTTATGATGTCTGTGAATGGAGTAGCAAGGAGGTGGAGCTGGGAGGTAAGGAGAGGGGGGTAGGGATAGGGTCGAGGGAGCAGGTGGTCGGTTTCATGCGGGTTACAGTGGTGATGAGAGAGGAGGGGGAGAGGTTTGAAGGTATGGAGGGAGGGATGGGTAGGGGCGGGAGGGGGAGGGTGTAGCAGATGGAATAGCAGAGGCAGCTGAGCAGATCTCCTCGACTTTGGATTCGAAGAAGTCCAGCATCGCCTCATAGTTGGCATTGGAGGTGAGGATGGGCTAGGCGTGAGAGGCGGAGGATCCAATTTGTGATGGAGAAGAGGAGCCTGGGGTTGTCCTTGGCCTTTAAGATTGTCTTGGAGTAGAATCACGATTTAGCAGAGGGAAGGGCGGAGTGGTAAGATTTGATAAGGTCCAGCCAGATCTGACTATGGACCATTACGTTTGATTTGAACCAGATGCATTCAGTGGGATGCAACTGTGCTTTAAGGGAGCAGAGGTGGCTGGTGTACAATGGTGACTTATGTGAATAGGAGACGGTTTGGGAAGAGAGGGGAGCAAGGGAATCAAGAGTGGAGGAGAGGGAGCTATGGAGAAGAGAGACCGAGGAGGGTAGGTCATTGCAGGAGGAAGCCCAGAGGGAAAAAAATTCAGATGACTCTAAGGCAACTTAGATGGAGAGGGGGGAGATTTTTTTCAGGTGCAGTAGGGGATGGAGGCGAGTTGGGTGGCGGTGGGGACAGGGATTGAGGAGTTAAGGGAGATGAAGTGATGGTTCGACATCGCTTTGTCGATGATGGTGATGTCCGAAACGGTGAGGCCCCAAGTGATCACCAGGTCGAATGGGAGAGCACGGACATGGGTGGCAGTGGATGTGGAGGGAGAGGTTGACCGAGGAGATAAGGGAGGAGAAGTCAGCAGAGGCAGAGCAGAAGGGGGTGAAGTGAAGGTTGAAGTTGCCTAGGATGAGGAGACGTACGGAGCAGAGGGAGAGGGAAGATAGGAGGGTGGAGATGTTGGGGATGAAGGTAGGGGAGGGCTTGGGGGGTGATAGATCGGGAGAATTTTGAGGGAAAGGTTGGAGGGGTGATAAAGGATAAGGCGCTCAAAGAAGGGGAAGGTTCCAGAGGAGTAAGGGGATAGGCCGAGCGGGGACCGGGAGATGAGAGCCACACTGCCACCATTGCGGTTAGGTCGAGGGATATGGTGGAAGGTATAGCTGGGTGACAAGGAGGGGGAGGACTGGTAGGGAGGGTAGGGATATGGATAAGGGAGGAGAGGTTGGTCCCCGGGGTCAGGGACCGATGAGCCTTGTGGTGAGAATGGGGGATAGGGCAGTCAGAATGGCTGCTGTTGGACAACCAGCGACATCTCCCACGGTGGGCCCGAAGGTGGTCCCGACAAGCTGAAACAGAGGGAGGCAGTGGGATGGTCGAGCAGCGATAGGAGTCGGGGTGGGGGTGGTGAGAGAGGAAGACCGAGCGGGAGTAGTGGAGGGTAGAGGACCTATAATGTCAAATAATTCTTTCAAAGCACTTCAGAGGGAATTACTGTGAAGTGTACTGAATATGGCAGCCATTTGCACACAGCAATGTCCCACAAATAACCATGGTAATTTACTGTATTTCCAGGAGAACACCACATTATCCACACTCTTGACTATCCACAGTTCCATTTACCCACAGTTAGCTGCGGAATCCACAGTCCCAATTCAGTTGCATGTGCTCTCTAATGTATATTCATCTGATTTTAGTCTTTGCCTTCTGTACTTTCCTAGCTGGTTGCAGAGCCTTGTTATTTAGGGCTTTTAGAGATTGTTTTCGCTATTCATTTAGATATCTTTCACTCTTTCTTGGTCTTTTCTGTTTTCTTCCTTTCCTTTTAACTTCAGCCTTCCTCTTTTCTGCTGTATTGTCAACAGGCCAGAGTTCATTCTTATCTTCATTCTTGCCCTTTCCCTCTTCAAATCTCGTTTAAAAAAATTCCCAATTCATTCTACGACTCTAGAACGACTCTACATGAAAGAGTAAAAGCAGAAGATTAGAGCTGTGTGAAAAAGTGAGAAACTAGTGGATTTGGCGCTATGTAAAAAAGAGCGAGACTGTGAGCAAGAACACAAAACATGAGCACAGTGAGACACAGAAAGAAACCAATAAATAGAGACAAGGACTAGGATTTTAGGACACTTCCATCGTGTGTGCAGCAGAGCTCTCTTTTCTGAGGGCAAACATCAAAGCTTGCCCTCCAGCAAGTTTAGCCATTCTAATGCAATGTTAGATTGTAGAGTCTCCTCTGACTCTAGTTCAATTTCAGCTAGAACACAATGTAATGAACACTATGATTTAACATCATCATCAAATGTGTTATGTCACTGACTGCGATTGTTTCAATAAAAGTAAAGAATGCTTGCTAGCCACTTTTTTCATGCTCTGCAACCCTTTGCTTAATTTTTATAGCAACCATTCATTCATGTAAACAACACATGGTTGTAGATAAAAGCAGAAGTCGCTGGGAACACTCAGCAGAGGTCAGGCAGCAGCTATGGAGAAAGGAAAGTGAGTCAACGTTTCGGGTCTATGACCCTTCGTCAGAACTGGGGCATGTTGGGAGGGAGAGGCTTTTAAGGACTAACAGAGAGGGGAGA